GTGTCATGTTCATAGTGACATGTGTCATGGTCATAGTGACATGTGTCATGGTCATAGTGACGTGTCATGATCATATTGACATGTGTCATGTTCATATGACATGTGTCATGTTCATATGACATGTGTCATGTTCATATGACATGTGTCATGTTCATATGACATGTGTCATGTTCATATGACATGTGTCATGTTCATAGTGACATGTGTCATGTTCATAGTGACATGTGTCATGTTCATAGTGACATGTGTCATGTTTGTATTGACATGTGTCATGTTCGTATTGACATGTGTCATGTTAGTATTGACATGTGTCATGGTCATAGTGACATGTGTCATGGTCATAGTGACATGTGTCATGGTCATAGTGACATGTCTCATGGTCATAGTGACATATGTCATGTTCATATTGACATGTGTCATGTTCATATTGACATGTGTCATGTTCATATGACATATGTCATGTTCAGTGACATCTGCCATGTTCATAGTGACATGTGCCATGTTCATAGTGACATGTGTCATAGTCATAGTGACGTGTCATGTTCATAGTGACATGTGCCATGTTCATAGTGACATGTGTCATAGTCATAGTGACGTGTCATGGTCATAGTGACATGTGTCATAGTCATAGTGACGTGTCATTGTCATAGTGACATGTGTCATGGTCATTTTGACGTGTCATGTTCATAGTGACGTGTGTCATGTTCATAGTGACGTGTGTCATGTTCATATTGACATGTGTCATGTTCATAGTGACATGTGTCATGTTCATAGTGACATGTCATGTTCATAGTGACATGTCATAGTCATAGTGACATGTGTCATGTTCATAGTGACATGTCATAGTCATAGTGACATGTCATAGTCATAGTGACATGTCGTAGTCATAGTGACATGTCATAGTCATAGTGACATGTGTCATGGTCATAGTGGCATGTCATAGTCATAGTAACATGTCATAGTCATAGTGACATGTCGTAGTCATAGTGACGTGTCATGGTCATAGTGACGTGTCATGTTCATAGTGACATGTCATAGTCATAGTGACATGTCATAGTCATAGTGACATGTCCTGGTCATATTGACATGTGTCATGTTCATAGTGACATGTGTCATGTTCATACTGACACGTGTCAGCCTGGACGGGCATGAATGTGTGAAACAAGTGGGAGTGTGTGAAATGGTAGGAGGTTCATTTGAAGCAGACTAGATGCAACTGAAGCTAACAGAGTTACTTCCCACTGGTTAGACCTGAACCCCCCAAGGGTTCAGGAGGACTCAGTCAGAGCCAGGAAACAGGAAGATGTTTCAAAATAAAGCCTATAGATACTTTTCAAGATAAATATTGAATATTTTTGTACTTGTGCAGACGACAAGGAGAACCTCCTCTGATCAAAGGATGGGTTCCGTTCCTCGGGAACACTTTACAGTTTGGAAAAAATGCCCACAAGTTTCTGGAAGACCAGAAGAGGAAGAACGGAGACGTTTTCACGGTGCTGATTGCAGGTGGGTTCTGTTATCTCGTTGGGGGGGGGGTCTCATAAGTGGGTTCATTGCTGTCCCCAAAGACTCTGGTCTTTATTCAAACCTTCTTGTCCCTCAGACCGGGGTCCTCAAACGTTTTGGGCCTGGGGACCCCATACAAGTTTGAAAATTTCCAGGGACCCCCTTACAAAACCTTTTGCTGTTTTAAAAATAATGAAAAACTTCTAAATGCCATGGGAATATTATCTTTAGTTTGGTTTAGTATGTTTGTAAGCATTTTTTAAAATAAAAATCAAATTAGCAATTTATTGAAAATTTTTGAGGACCCCTAAAATATGACTCGCGGGCCCCTGGGTGTCCTGGGACCCCACTTTGAGAACGTCTGCCTCAGATGAAGGACACAAGGTTAGAAACACTCAGTGTTCTGAGCTTCTCAGGATCCATAAAGGGTTCCCCAATAATTCTTTTCCTTTGACTACTCAGAGTCAGGCAGTGGTCTAAGTAGTGCAAAGAGGTCGGTAGTTCAATAGCACAGACATCACACAGACCATTGTCATGGAGTCCCATCGCCATTTTGTGCTGGTTGAGCAGGATGTGCCCAGTTAGGACTCCAACCAGTGTACTTAAGAGTTTTCCTTGTCAGGGAGATGAGAGCTTTCCCAAACCTTAGATTTGGGCCGTTAATCAATTCCCGTGCCTGTCTACAGTCCATCATCTCCCTCCAGAGGACTGAGTGTCAACATCTAATCCAGGCCTGTAGGGCAGTCCTACAGACTGTTGTTGACGTTCCTAAAACAGGCTCTAGTCCAGTAGGACTTCCATGGCTGCTGTGGTGTTGCTCTGATGGGACCTGTGATGCTCAGGCAGGACATTCGTTGCACATGGTGAGCATCATTCTTGGACTCGAACCCTCCACACTAAAGCAGCATTGCATGGGGCGAACTATGTCTGTGTAGATCCATCTGATAACCTTTGGGGTAGCCCCCCAATGACTACCTGCAGTTCTACAGCACAGGTGTAGGCATATTCTTACATTTTTCATTTGAATGTCTTTTTCATTTTAGCTTCCTGTCTAGATAGACACCCAAATATTTAACCGAATGTAAAATGTAAAATCGTAGAAAACTAAAACAGAGATGTCTCTGAGGGACGTCCTGGGGACTTTAAAGTGTCATATGTCTTTCTGAGGGTTGTCCTGAGGTCTGCCTGTCTTCAGATGACACTCACAGGTTGAAGGTAGTTCTCTGTCTGAAGTCCAGCTCATGTAGAGGTAAAAGACATGGTTCTGGTTGTGAGTGTCCTCATGAGGACATGTTGTCTCTGTCCTGCAGGTAAATACATGACCTTCATCATGGATCCATTACTCTACCCCAGCATCATCAAACACGGCCGGCAGCTGGACTTCCACGAGTTGACTGAGAGGTTGGCCCCTCTGGTCTTCGGGTACCCAAGCATGAAGACATTCCCCGGCCTGTCTGAACAGATCAGCCGGGCCTACCGGTTCCTACAGGGCGACAGCCTCACGTCCCTGACAGAGAGCATGATGGGTAACCTGATGCTGGTGTTCTGCCAGGACCACCTGGATCCGGGCCAGGGCTGGAGGTCCGGCAACTTGTACGAGTTCTGCTCCTCGGTCATGTTTGAGGCCACCTTCCTCACCATCTACGGTCGACCTCAGACCGGTAGCCGCCATCAGCACATGGACCAGCTGTTGAAGGACTTCCTTCAGTTTGATGCCATGTTCCCCTACCTCAGTGCAGAGGTCCCCATCTGGCTGCTGGGACGTACCAAGACCGTCCGCCAGAAGCTCATCAGTCACTTCCTGCCGCAGCGGTTGTCCTGCTGGTCTGACAAGTGCCAGTTCATCCAGGCACGATTGGAGCTGTTTAACCTATACGACAAGCTGAGGGACGTGGACAAAGCAGGTAGGACAGAATTCTCCTCATTTCCTGGTTTATTGAGGTCATAGAGAGTCCTTGTGTCTCTGAAGGTAGGACCACCCACAGGTCTGAACCGTTCTGGACTCAGTAAAGTTCTAAAGGTTTTGATGTCAGAATGAAGATGTTGATGTTAGAACTCTGGACTGAGTCTGAACTGGTTTAAGGACCCAACCAAACCTCCAACTTTGATCAGTTTCTTCCTCTGAGATCCTGAAGGTCTTTGGACTCAGGGGGGCTGGAGGAGAAACTAGGTGTAGATGAGGTTTGGTCTGGTTCTGAAGGTTCTGCTGCCGCCTGACTCCTGGTTTGTCGCTGACTTTCAGCTCATCACTTCACCATCCTGTGGGCATCTGTAGGCAACACGCTTCCTGCCACCTTCTGGGCCACCTTTGACCTGGTGGCCCACCCAGAGGCCCTGAAGGTGGTCCGTCAGGAGATCCTGGATGTCCTGAGAGCCAGTGGAGTGGAGTTTAGCCCCGACAGAGAACTGACGCTCAGCAGGGAACAGCTGGACAAGCTGGTCTTCCTGGGTATGTTGTCACTCACAGATACTTCTGTAGGACCTGAAGCTGGACTTTACAGGACCATCTCTGTCCCCAGAGAGCTCCATCAAGGAGAGCCTCCGGTTGTCCTCAGCCTCCATGAATCTCCGGGTGGCTCAGGAGGACTTCAGCCTGCGGCTTGACGCCGAGCGCTCTGTGGCTGTCAGGAAAGGAGACATCATCACCCTGTACCCTCAGAGTATGCACCTGGACCCTGAGATCTACGAGGACCCGCAGGTACCACAGCAGTTTTCTGTAGAACCTGATGGATCATGTTGTCCCATCAGGTCTTCAGGTGTTACAGTAAGATGTTTGTTTCCTCAGTGGATCAGCAGGTTCTGAGACTCTGCTGCAACCTGCTGGAGGTTCTAGGCTTTTAAAGACACTGGTCCTCTCATCTGGACAGATCATGTCTCAGTCAGAACCCTTCAGTAACCACAGAACTCCAGTTGTGTTTGATCTTTAGTTAGGTCCACAATCGATCAGACTGGACCAGAACCAGGTTTACTGTGTTCAGACTCAAAACCTCCCAGCACAGAGTCCAAACTAAACTGTTCCTGGATCTCCTGTCCCCTCAGACATTCCACTTCGACCGTTTTGTTGAGGACGGCAGAGAGAAGACGGACTTCCGTAAGCATGGACAGAAGCTGAAATACTACCTGATGCCGTTTGGTTCTGGTTCCTCCAAGTGTCCCGGCCGATACTTCGCCGTCAACGAGATCAAACAGTTTGTGTGTCTTCTGCTGCTCTACTTGGACCTGCAGCTGGAGGACGGCCAGAACCGACCCTCATCGGACCACTCCCGAGCCGGACTGGGTATCCAGCAGCCGTCCTCGCCTGTTCTGTTCCGCTACAGACCGCGGGCCGAGTGACCCGGAGCGGCGCAGGTGCTGGTGAGGGGATAGTCCCGACCCGTGTTTAGAGATCCTGTCACTGCTTCACCTGTTGACCTTTGACCTTTCTCTTCTTCCTCTGCTCTCAGAGACGGATCCTCCTCAGACCTGCAGCTTCAGCAGAAACCAGGCCAGAAACCAGACCTGCTTTGTTTTAGATATCTGAAGAACCCTACACCGGATCTGGTTTCTGGTTCTGTAGGATCTTGTTTCAGCGAGGCTCTGCTGGTTTTAACAAACTGTGAAGACGTCTCGTCTCACTGATGAAGAGGAGGATTAAATCTGAGTCTCCCTGTAATTCAACGAAATGTCTTCATTGGTAGTGTGGAATTAAAACTACCGGACAACAACCAGAGTTCTGGAGGATCCACTGTGGGTTCTTTAGACCTTCTTTAGATGTTCTTTATAACTTCATTAGATCGTCTCTAGAGGTTCTTTAGACATTCTATAGATGTTCTTTATAACTTCATTAGATCTTCTCTAGAGGTTCTTTATACCTTTAGATCTTCTTTAGAAGTTCTTTAGACCTTCTTTAGATGTTCTTTATAACTTCATTAGATCTTCTCTAGAGGTTCTTTAGACCTTCTTTAGATCTTCTCTAGAGGTTCTTTAGACCTTTAGATCTTCTCTAGAGGTTCTTTAGACCTTCTTTAGATGTTCTTTATAACTTCATTAGATCTTCTCTAGAGGTTCTTTAGACCTTCTTTAGATGTTCTTTAGAACTTCATTAGATCTTCTCTAGAGGTTCTTTAGAGGTTCTTTAGACCTTCTTTAGATCTTCCCTAGAGGTTCTTTAGACCTTCTTTAGACCTTCTTTAGATCTTCTCTAGAGGTTCTTTAGACCTTCTTTAGATGTTCTTTATAACTTCATTAGATCTTCTCTAGAGGTTCTTTAGAGGTTCTTTAGACCTTCTTTAGATCTTCTCTAGACGTTCTTTAGACCTTCTTTAGACCTTCTTTAGATCTTCTCTAGACGTTCTTTAGACCTTCTTTAGACCTTCTTTTGATCTTCTCTAGACGTTCTTTAGACCTTCTTTAGACCTTCTTTAGACCTTCTTTAGATCTTTTCTAGACCTTCTTTAGACCTTTAGACCTTCTTTAGATGTTCTTTAGAGGTTAGGCTTGCTGCAGGTTTTAGTCTGAAATTGAATGTAAACAAAAGTTTGATTATTTTATTGTTTTTTAAATCCAATAAAATCAACTTTATAAAGCTGACTTTAATAAATGATTTTTAAAAATAAAGTATTTAGATTTGGTTAAATATAAATAAAAACAACCGTTCATTATTCAATCTTTTAAACTTTTAATTTTGAGCAACATGGGTCTGGTCCCAGCCACCAAAAAGTCTTATCCTTGATTTAAATTTAGCCAATCTCTTGGTGGAGATGTCCTCATGAGAGATCATTGTTTTATTTGATTTAGCTTTTTCTCTGGAACCTAACCCTCTGAAATTAGGTCTTGGAGGTGCATTATCTCTGACCATACAGCTACTAGGTTTCTGAATTTGATCCAAATTGTTTGTGGACTGTCATGATGTGGACAGTCTTCTTTGTAGTTTTAAGTCATTGTGAGGACATTTTGAACCAGGTTGCTCCTGTTAGACCCAGTTTGGTGACCAGGAAAACGACACGCTCTTGGATTAATGACACCATTCATGAGCTGAAGACATGTTGTAGAACTGAGCTGTTGTGGAAGTCAGCTAGACTTAAGGTCTACAGATAGCACCGTGAGGAATTCATGTCTTCTTTAAAGGCCTGCTGGTCATAACTGGTCCTCTTTCAGCCCTGATAACCAAGATGAAGCCTTTTTCCTGGGCCTCTGGCACGCTCACCTTTGGACTGTATTTGAAAGTATTTGTTGTCATTGGCCTCTGGGTTAATGAAGCTGTCTCTGTCATCTGGCATATGTCCTAGATCTTTTAGATGTCCTGATGCATCTCAGTAATCCAGGTAAAAAATCAAAGGAAAAAAAATTGTATAGGTCCTCTGGACGGGTT